GAACCGCTTCAAGATAGCCCTTGACCCCCTTCCTCTGCACCAACACACCAAATACAACCCCCAAAATACGTAACAAGTGGCAACTTTTGCATCTATTCAAAGCTATTACACTGTGAACTAAACAAATGGAAGAATGATGAGCAGAAGCAAAATGTTGAGGTTACCTCCCATGGAAACCAAGAGGAAGGTGGAAACCCCAAAGCTTGGTCATGGTAAACCGCTTTGCATGCCAAACATGAGTTCTCAGCCTCTTTGTTCCATCACCAGAATTACCAAACCCTGTTTCTGGGTTCCCTTTAAGTTCGATTCTCCTTCTCACCCGTCTTGGAAGCTTCGTTTCATAGTCTCCTGACTCAGACTTGTTATCTCGGACAAAGGAAGACTCTGATCTCTTCCTTTTCTTACAACGTCTCTTAGCAGCCTGGTTATTGTAGGAAGTGGTTCTTCTCCTCTTGTTCCTCTTGGAACGGAAGTCCTTATTCAGTCGATCAGAGACAATCGAGTGGAGCGACTCGAGCTCAGCAGCTCGAGCTTCCGAAAATTTCTGAACGTTGATTTTGCGAGGGGGAAGAAAGGAGCATTCATCACTTCTCTTACCACTCCAATCAGAAACCATTCTTAGGAACAACAGGAAGCAGCTAATTTTGTTGAATTTTCTGTAGCACAAAGAAAATCCAAACGTAGGGAAGACGTCAGTACAACAAATCGATTCCCAAAAATTTCCGCAATAGTTCAATAAAAACAGACTACCCAGAATTCAAAATTCCCCAATATACATAAAAAAGTATGCGATCAAACAGGAAGCCAGAGTCTGCTTCACAGAATACCCAGCAGAATTTGATATTTAGTTTAAGTTCTACCATAGTTCTCATCAATCAACCTTAGATTCTCTTGAACAAACTAGGAACTATTGTAGTAGCGAGACTTGAATCAGTCAATTCGACGAACAGGAGGAGGACGGGAGAAAGAAGCCGACTTGTCCACTTCTCCGGTGGTACCCCTCTTTTCTCCTGCACGAATCAAATTAGGGTTCGTAGATTGAAACAGATTACCGTTGAGATCGTCGCTTAATAATACCTGAGTTTTCAAAATTTTCTAGATATTGCAAGTCATTGTCCACGTGTCACGACACATAAAATTAAACCTAACCGAAATTTTCAACTAAACCCGAACCGATTCATTAAAAGAAAAAAAAAAAGGATGGAGCTCCGCCGCCGCCGCCGCCGCCGCCGCGACAAACCAGGAACTGAGGAGGGAGTTAAACACAGAAACGAAGCAGCAGAAGAGGATAGATGAGAATGGTTGTTTTTTTTTGTTTTTTTTTTTAAAGATGAACCAGGAACCGTCGTGTCAAGTTCGAATCAGGCGATCCAAGCCGCAAATCCATCCAAGATCCGGTGGAGATGAACCAGGAGTTGTCATTCAGTTTGGGCGAATAGAACTCAAATCCAACCAAAACAAACACGGATACAACACAACTGCGGGCGTAACGAAAAGAATTCGAAAACTCAGGAACCCTAACCTTGAAGAGAAGTGAGACACTGAATGGGGTCGAAAAGTTGCCGGTGAGCAGAATCGAGGTTTGAGAGGAATTGGAAAGAAAACGACGAAATCGACAACTTAGAAGCGACGGAAATAAACACACATACATATATAACATATATAAATAAAAATATATACATATATACCATATATATACATATATATTATATATGTGTATATATAAATTATTTTTATTTAATTATAGTTTTTTATTTTTTATTTTAATTAAAACTATGGGTATATATATGTTATATATGTATATATATATATATGCATGTGTGTATATATATTGTATGTATATATGTATTTTAATTTTTTTTAGTTTTTTATTTCCTTTTTTCATTTTTATTTTTTATATTATTATAATTTTCTATTTTTATTTAATTATAATTATTTTGTTTATTTATAAAAAATTTATGTGATGTAATGGATGATTTGGCTAAAAATCAACGTCATGGTCATTAACCGTCGATTAAATTTTGTTAAAAATCTAAAAATTTAAAATATTTTTTTGTCAAAATCAGTGAATTTATATTTATTTTGAAAATTTTAAAAGTTCAGTATTAATATAAACACAGTAAATTTTTAGAATTATTTTATATTAATAAACCCTACAACTTGATTGCATTATTCTCAAACTAATAGAATCAAACATAAAAATAAACTTTAATTCAAATAATGTAAATTTATATTTTTTTTAAAAAGAAAAACCAAATCCAACGAATTTTAATAGAATTTAAAATAAACAATATATAAATAATAAATAATTCATTGAAAACTATAGATTTGAGTTAAAACAATCAAATCCAATTATAAAAATCTATAAATGATATTAATTAATTAAATATTAAATGAGGAATATTATGTTGTTTTGGAAATGAAATAGAGGAGATATATATATATATATATATAT